CCGTCCAGGACAATGAGCACACACTCAGCGTGCAAACGGACACCCCCGTCAGACCCCGCAAGACTCCCAGCCCCCCCCCCCCCCCCAGATCCACATGGCCCCGACAAGTGCGAAGTGTTCCCGGGGGCGCAAGTGCTGGACGGCCTACGCCAGGCCTCTTCGATGGCTCCAAAATCGGCTGCAAGATTTTCGACGCAGCACCCAGGATGAGGATATCAAGGGTTTTCTGGACACCCTGGACAGTCTGGAAGACAGCCCTGGAAGCTTTAACATCTCTCTCCTGCCCTTGCCCGAGGGCTGCAGGAAGTTCGCGTTGCCGCAGGACTGTCGCATGGGGGCTTGCAAGCGCAGAGGCTCAACGCAGAGTTGGGCATCACGATGTCAGATGAGCTGACCGAGCAAGTCGGCAAGACCATCGACACCGCACTTGCCACCGAGCGCATCGAGGACGGGCAGGAGTGGAGGGATTGGGCGCAGCCTTCCATAAAGGGAGGCACGGGATGGGCGCACAAGTGGACGAGAAAGCTCGAAGCTTGGAAGCGTGTTTCGGCTGTGCATGGCTAGCTTTTTTCGTCCTCTTTTTTTCTCTGGACGCCCGCGGCACATCCGCCAAGTCGAGGCCGACCGACTCGCCAAGATTTGGGATGTTCACACTGAGGCTCCCCCACAATGGGTTCCCCAGACCGTTAACAGGGTGGCCCTTGGACCCATCGCCCCAGCTCGCGTTCGAAAGGCATCCAGAAGCTTTCCACACAGTGCGGCCTCAACTTGGGACGGAGTGCGCCCACGCCACATCGCCATGCCCGATGACGAGCAAGCCGAGCTAGTTTGTAAGATGACTGAGCTTAGCGCGCAGATTTGGCACATGCTGTCGCAGCTGTACGGCGCTATCTCTACGATAACATCAAAATAACATGATGAGATTCATGCCCAGCCCGCCTTTCGGTTGATTGGCATGATCCCTGCTCTTTATCGCGCCTGGGCCTGACTGCGGGGATCAGCGGCCCGGGAGTGGGAATTTCACCACAAACGACCATATATTGCACATCAGGCGGGACATTCAACAGTGGATCTTGCATATGCACAGTCACTGGCACGCAACGATCATGCGTGCCAAGAGGGGCCCCAACATTCCGCTCAAGTGCTATGGAACCTCTCAAACTATGACGATCATATAGACCCCGAGTGCCTTGCCCAGCGCGCTCTCGCCTCTGGTTTCCCGTGCTGCCTACTCCGCATCATTCTCTCTCAATATGGAAGTGCCCGTTTCGCTGCTATACAGGATGTGCGCGCGCTAATGCCGACAAAGCGTGGGCGGGGCTCGGTGCCTGACCCGATGCCGCCATGGCCAGCCTTCAACAGACTAGCCTCTGGGAAGAGGCAGCTCTGTCGAGAATGATCAACACTTGGGGCTCCTGTAGGGCCCCCCACTCAGCGCGGCGGCCCTCCCGTTGGCCAGTGCGGGGTGGTCGTTCAAGGGCCCTTTCCGTTTTGTGACTCCTACAGGCCTTGTGCATCCCCTCTCAGGAACTTCCCTCGCCTACATTGCCAAGCAGCTCGAGGTTGCCTGGCACGACAAGGCAGCAGTGCAGGCTACCACCAGGATGGGACATCCTGGCGAGCAGCTTGATGTTTCAGTCCCCCGCACCGTCCTCAGCTCAGTCGAGCTGACCAAGCAGCAGCGCGGCACGCTGATGGCCTTCGTCACCCAGAGTAGCTGGAACATGGGGCGCGCACTTGCAGCAGGATATGATGCGCCCCACGGTTGCCCATGTGGACACCACAAAGATGACCTCCAGCATCGCCTCCGCGAGTGCCTCAAGCCTGCCCAGCCCAGAGAAGGAGTTCACTAGTGGGGAGCTTCGCAGGGTGGAACACCCGATTCCTGACACCCCCCCGCCCCACCGTGGGTTTCAGTTTACGCCCAACTTTGTGGGCACCCCCCCTGGCACTGGCCTGGAGGCTGCTAAGTCTTGGTGTCTAGACCCAAATTCTGAGGACTGAGGCAGCGTTCAATGGTGATGTCTACATAGATGGTAGTTGCACGTGTCACGGCCACTATAACTTCAATGTTGCTGGGTTTGCCGTAGTGTGCATGGTGGATGGAGAAGAGTTTGCCACCTTGCATGGCCGCGTTGGGTCCCTGGGGGCCCAAACATCGGGGGCCGCTGAGCACCTCGCCGCAGTGGCGGCCGGCAGGCTCCCGCCCCACGTCGACAAGATTTACTCGGATGATGGAAGGGGTGTTGCAATTGCACAGCGAGGCTGGATACCCTCGCCGCAACCAATGGCCAGGTTGTAAAGTGCTCGCGGGCGGAGGCTATTCTGACCTCGGCCCCGAACTCCAGAAAGCCAAGGCTCACCAACATCTGGAGTTGCCCCCCCGAAAGTGACGATTTCCGTTTAGCCGGCGGCAACGATGCCGCAGATAGGATTACCAAGGCCGCCGCGAACCTCGACAGCCAACCCAGTCTCGACGAAGTAGAGCAGCATCATGAAAAAAGCACTGCTCAGCTGACGAAATACCTTCGACATGTGTCCAAAGCCCGTGGAGAGTGGCCCGCAGTAGCCCCTCGTCGCAACAATGCGCTGGCCAAGCCCGTGAAGAGCCTCTCCCCTCCCTCGGGGGCTGCCTCGGCCTTGGCCTCCTGGAACCCTGGGGCCCCGCCGTCCGCCCCTCCCCCCCTCCCCCTCCTGCGGCCCCTCGCGAGATTCCGAAGGCCCATGTCTGGGCGATAGTGAATGGCCCGCGCCGATGCACGACTTGCCACATCCGCGTCCGCACGTTCAAAGCATATGAGGCGCGATGTCGTGCAATGGATTGTCCTGGACACTGCCCCCAGATGTCCAGCCTGGCATCCAAACCCAGGGGGCATACTTTGTTCTATTACGAGCACCTCGAACAGGCAACAAGTGCTCTGGTGTGCCACAAGTGCGGTTCCTTTAAGGAGGGCAATTCGGAAGGTTCGTCTGGTGATTGTAAGTTGAGACCGCCCCATAATGGGGCTAAGCTGCAGTTACAGAGAGCACAGTCTGGCCGTCACCCCAAGAGTGCCGCCGCCAGCCCGATTGTGTTCAGTATCCCTCCCGTGCCGCTGGAGCAGCTGCTCAAAGAGGCAGCTCAAGCCCAGGCTCAGACAGGCCCACACCAAGGATGAGGTTTGCCCACCGTCCTGGCGTTCTCTACACCACGGGTGGGCAGTGCCGAGTCGTCCTGGCATCGCCTCATTCTCTGTGTACTTGTGCGTGTGTGCGAGCGCGTTCCCCGCATGCGTGTCAAGCACCCAGACTCAGGGGGAAGGAACGCTCATTTCTTTCTCCTGCGGCATTGGCCGCAGATACGCCTTGGCCCGATGCAGGTTCGATCTGGGGTGTTGCGTTTCGCTCCGACTGGCGGTGCTGGCGTCCCGCAGCCAGCCCTTGTACCCGAGCTGTGGGGTACCGCCAACCAGGCGAGGCATGCCGTCCTTTTCACTGCAGAGTGCTGTTTTGGCGCTACCTCTTTGCTGGGCACGGGGGTGGTCTTTGGGCTCCCTTGCCCACCCTGCTGCCCAGATCCACCTTCCCACCTCCCCGCCGCAAGCGGCGGAGGAACGGGAGCGTGGCCAGGTGTGCAACGCCACATCTGGGCCCAACTGAGTGCTGTGCGTGTGTGCGTGCGTGTGTGGTCCTGCACGCGTGTCAGGCACCCCGCCTCAGAGGGAAGGAGCGCTGCACACTCTTCTGCGGCACAGAGGTGCAGTTTCGCCTCAGCCCACAGCTGTTTCCTGGGTCAAAGCTCCTTTCCTGGACTGACGGTGCCGCTTACGCAGCCAGCCCTCGAACCCGAGCTTTGGGGATCCGTCAACCAGGCGACAACCCCACGGGGGCCTCCGAGCACGGGGGTGGACTTGGGTTGCCAGTCCGCCCCGACAGTGGCTCCCAACCCCCACGATCGTGGGCGGTGGCGGTACGGTGCTGCTGAGGCTTAGTGTGCAAGGCCACACCAGGCCCCAGCACCGCATTCAGCGTCGGCAGCGCACTGCCATCTCAGCGGCACCCATGGCCGCTATGGAGAACAACTGGTGGCCCAGTGCCACGAGGTTTCGGGTTAGGGTCGGGTCGGCCCACCCTTAGCCTCCTCCATAGCCAAGTGATGGTCCTCCTCCTTCGCACCCCTATTCCTCCTCATCCTCCTCCTCCTCCTCCTTCGCACCCCTATTCCTCCTCCCCCACCTCCTCCTCCTCCTCCTCCTCCTTCTTCTTCTCCGGCGCACCCCTATTCCTCCTCCTCCTCCTCCTCCTCCTCCTCCTCCTCCTCCTCCCCCTCCTCCCTCGCAACCCTCCTCCTCCTCCTCCTCCTCCTCCTCCTCATTCTGCTCGTTTCTCCTCTTCCTCCCTCGTCCCCGTTTCTCCTCCATCTTTCGTCCTCGTCCTCCTCCTTCCCTCCTCCCGCCTCCCCTCCCCGCTCGGCCCCAGTCGTCGCGCGCACCATGTGTTCGATGCCTGGACCCCGGAGGTCTCATTAGACGAAGCTTGGAGGAGGAGGATAACATCGGGCGAGGATAAATCCAGGATCTTCGAGATCTGGCGGATCTGGGGGCAATGTCAGGCGTCGGCGGCCTTCCCAGAGCGTTCAGGAACGCTCTGAACGGGTGTGTCTTCGTCATTGCCCCGTCCGACGTCATTGCCCCGACTTCCTTGGGGCCAGGCGTTTCGTCCTGCTTGTTTCGTCGACGGTCCCGTGGTCCGTTGAGGTCTCCCGGAGGCCAGAATCACCCCCAAAACCGGCCGCCTCGATTTTTGTTCGTGAGTCCAGACCTCTAGGGCCTCGAGTGGAGATGCGCGCAGGGGAGGGAGAGGAGGTTGTCACCTCCTACGCGCCCTTTCGTCGCCGTCGCCCATCGTCGTTCGTCATCGATGTCGCCGTCGCCGTCGCCGTCGCCGTCGCCGCCACCGTCGTCGTCCTCGTCGACCTCGTCGCCGTCGTCCTCGTCCTCGTCGTCGTCGTCGTCGTCGTCGTCGTCGTCGCCGTCCTCGTCGCCGCCGCCGCCCGAGGGGGTCCTCGGCAGGGCGCCCAGCGCCGCCACGGCGCGGCTCGCCTCGCACCCCGCGCGGGCGTCGCGGGCGGCGATCTCGAGCCGCTGGACGGCGCGCTCCTGGCGCCACGACCCGCCGCTCGTCGCCGCCGCCGCCGCCCCTCCTCCTCCCCCTCCTCCTCCTCCTCCTCCTCCTCCTCCTCCTCCTCCTCCTCCTCCTCCTCCTCCTCCTCTGGCGCACCCCTATTCCTCCTCCCCCTCCTCCTCCTCGCCATCCTCCTCCTCCTCCTCCTCCTCCTCCTCCTCCTCCTCCTCCTCCTCCTCCCCCTCCTCCCCTCGGTCGTAGTCGGCGACGGCGGCGTCGTCTGCGTCGTCGGCGTCGTCGGCGTCGTCGATGTCCTCGTCGCACTCGGCGTCGGATTCGGCGTCGGCATCGCCGCACCCGCCAGAGTCTTGCTTCGCCCTCGGGGAGAGGGAGGGGGAGGGGCAGGAGGGGTGGAAGGAGGCGGGAGAGGGAGGGGCATAAAGAGGAAGGGAACGAGGGGGGAGAAGAAAGACGAGGAGGAACGATTTGCATGTTCCTCCTCCTGCCTAGCCCCTCCTCCCCTCCCCCTCCTCCATCCCTTGCCCGAGTGAATGACTGCTCACGGTCGTACCCCAGACGTGTCGGCAGGGCGGGCCGGACGTGTCGCCGAAGACTTCCCCGCCATCCGTGATCGTGAATCCTACAAGTTGCAGTGTGCTCAGGGATGAAGGTGGACCGATCTCAATCTGGAGCTCTCGCCTGCAACAGCGTCAGAGATGGAAAAAGCTTGTAACAGCCTCGAAGCTGGAGGGGGTCATCTTGAAAACAAGTTCTTGTCTTACGCCGCACACATTCGTCTTAAAGGTCTGCATTCGCTTCAAGAATGGAGGGCGGTTCCCTTTCAAAACGATGTGCATCCCTTAGCGCCGCGCGAATTCATCTTACAAGTCTGCATCAGTTGGAGGGGATGCTGAGCGCTTCCTTTTCACAGCGGAGCTTTCGCAGGAGACTTCTTGGAACTCGAGAACAAGAACGACTGAACACATGTAACACCTGCACGGATGACGGGAGGTGGATTTGCACCAGTTGGCGTTATCTCGACACTTCCTAACCGAAAGGCCCGAAACTGGATCAACCTGTACGCAAGCACGAAATGGGGCTCGGAAGTGGGGCTCGCCTGAGACTACCTCGACGCTCATGGCTAGAATTGGAACCCTCTGCAAGGGTTGCACGAATGGGAGCGATGTCGCAGGACCCCCTGTAGGAATTGTATGCTCACACACTCGTGCACTGCTGACTACTCTGGGGTCGGGCATGTCCTCCTACATTCGGGGCGTTGACCTAAGGAACCCTAAATGAGGAACGAGGCCTCTTTTTTCCCATAAGTTAAACTTCGATTCCGAATCGAAAACCTACGGCATGGCCAAAAAATATTCAGGAAACAGTCCTCAGACTATTCCTTGACTATTTCTGAATATCTGGGCATCGCTCGGACGTCCATTCCCTGTGCTTTTTTCGGTTTCGTGCGTGTTTCTTTCGCCAAATGATCAAGGATGCTCCTCGACCAAGGAAAAATGCACACGTCCGAGCGATGCCACGATACTCCCCCTGCAAAGGGACCCGCGCTGCGTGCAAGCTCGAGCACGACGACCCCTCGGCTGCCTGGCAGGCCCACCGGGCGCCGGTCCCGCGAGGGGGGCACGCCTGGAGCTGGGCCGGGAGAGCGTGCAGAGACGCACGAGGAGGGGACGTTGAGGACGGGAGGGGGAGGGGGAGGAGGAGGAGGAGGAGGAGGAGGAGGAGGACGAGGAGGAGGAGGAGGATGAGGAGAGGAGGAGGAGGAGAGGAGGAGGGGACGTCGGGGCGGGAGGGTGTACTGCACATCGGCGACCTGGAAGAAAGGTCATTGGTCCTCCTCCTCCTCCTCCAACTCCACCTCCTCCTCCACCTCCTCCAACTCCTCCTCTCCTCCTCTCTCCTCCTCCTCCTCCTTCCAACTCTCTCCTCCTCTCCTCCTCCTCCTCCTCCTCCTCCTCCTCCTCCTCCTCCTTCCTCCTTCCCCCCCTCCTCCTCCTCCTCCTCCTCCTCCTCCTCCTCCTCCTCCTCCTCCTCCTCCAGCCTTCCCCCTCCTCCTCCTCCTCCTCCCTCCCTCCTCCTCCACCTCCTCCTCCTCCTCCTCCTCCTCCTCCTCCTTCCCCCCCTCCTCCTCCTTCTCCACCCAGCCTGATCGGCATCCTCTGGCATCAACCGCACAAAACGACCACGGATTCGCAATGCGCCCGCCTCCACTCTGACTCGTCGCGGCCACATGATGAGAGATGCAGCCGATGCGTGGGCGGCATCAGGGAGAACCCCGCAAGTCAAATCGAGAGCGCTGCGCGGGCACATATTGCATCGACAAGTTCGCGCATCGATCCACAGCCAGCACGGCGCAGCCACCACCAGAAAATGATCCATGTGCCAACCCCCGATGCGGCACAATCTCCAGCTCCCGACGCTTAGGAAACAAACTGGACAGCTCACCACAAATACCCGGCGGCGAGCTCGGGGGGAAGTGAGAAGGGGTGGGCCGTATCAGAAGGCTCGAAGTCACCCGGCCTTCTGAGAAGTCACTTACGCCTTCCCCGAAGACACAGACAACTTCTCAGAAGGCGCGGGGTTTTCTGAGAAGTCCAGCGGCCTTCCGAGAAGGCCTTCTCCTTCTCACTTCCCCCCTCGCTCGCCGCCGAAATCAGCCGACCCTGTCGGCGTGTGTGAGGGGCTTGTCCGTTCAAGTCGTCATCTCCGTCATTCGTTGGTCATCGTCTCTGTCGTCCCCTTTCCCTGCCTCCACCTTTTCCTGGGCTCGTCGAAGCTCCCCCCTTTCCCAGGGACCTCCTCAGCGCGCCAGCCAAAGCGAAGTTGAGCAACGTCGTAACTGAGTCGAAAGGAAGCCCCTTCCCTTCGATCCCTCCCCCGCCGGGGGGGGGGGTCCCGGGGGGGGTCAGATACCCCGGGGAGTCCCGGAGCCCAAGAAAGCCCCAAGACGGGCCAAGAGTGCCCCAAGAGGCTCCAAAGACAGTCCAAGAGAACCCCGAATCGCTGAACGATCTGTCCAAGACGCCTTGACGGCCTCCAGACAGCCCAAGTGGCCTGCAAAGCGCCCAAAGAGGCCTCCAGGAGCTTCCCCACGGGAGCCCCAAGAGGCAAAATTCATGGATTTCCCATACGTGTTCGGCAGATTTTGACGTTCTTGCCTCTTTCGCTTCCCGACGCGCCAAGACGGCCCAAGAGGGTCCCCTAACGGCCGAAGAGGGCCCCAAGGCGACCCAAGACGCCTCCAAGACGGCCCAAGAGGCCCCCAAGACGGCTCCAGGAGAGTGCCCTGACGGGGGACCCGAACGGACATTACGAGCCTTCGGCCCCAAGAGGCTCACAGGAGGCCCCAAGAGTTTCCCCTGAGGCCCCAAGAGGCCCACAAGAGGTCCCCAGGAAGCCCGAAGAGGACCCCAAGAGGCTCCCAAGAGGCCCCCAAGAGTCTCCCAAGAGGCCACACAATTCCTACATATTCCTATCCAGAGGCCCCCAAGAGACTTTCGAAGAGATTGCAAGAACCAGCCGTGAAGATTCTGGCCCACGTTAGCGTCGTCGTCGTTGCCGCCGCCGCCGCCGCCGTTGTCGTCGTCGTCGTCGTCGTCGTCGTCGTCGTCGTCGTCGTCGTCGTCGTCGTTCTCGTCTCCCTTCAGGGTCGGCGGCACCGGCCATAAGGCCTTCTCAATATGCAGAAGCACGGGCACGCACGCAGACCACAAACACCCAATCATGAACGCGGGCACCGATGAGATCTGTTCCAGAAGAGACCACAGAAGCACTGATCGAACAAGTGCCATCCTCCCGCTCCTCCTCCTCCTCCTCCTCCTCCTCCTCCTCCTCCTCCTCCTCCTCCTCCTCCTCCTCCTCCTCCCCTTCCTCCTCCTCCTCCTCCTCCTCCTCCTCCTCCTCCAACTCCTCCTCATCCTCCTCCTCCTCCTCTCTCCTCCAACTCCTCCAACTCCTCCAACTCCTCCCCTCCTCCCTCCAACTCCTCCTCCTCCTCCCTTCTCCTCCTCCTCCTCCTCCAACTCTCTCCATCTCCTCCAACTCCTCCTCCTCCTCCTCCGCTCCTCCTCCTCCTCCTCCTCCTCCTCCTCCTCCTTTTCCCCTCCTCCTCCTCCTCCTCCTCCTCCTCCTCCTCCTCCTCCTCCTCCTCCAACTCCTCCAACTCCTCCAACTCCTCCCCTCCTCCTCCTCCTCCTCCTCCTCCTCCGCCTCCTCCTACTCAACCCCCCTCCCTCCCCCCCTCCTTCCTCCGCATCATCCTCCTCTTCCTCCTCCTCCTCCTCCTCCTCCAACTCCCCCCTCCTCCTCCTCCTCCCTCCGCCTCCCCCTCCTGCTCCTCCTCTCCTCCGCCATCCTCCTCCTCCTCCTCCTCCTCCTCCTCCTCCTCCGCGCCTCCTCCTCCAGCTCCTCCTCCTCCGCCTCCTCCTCCTCCTTTTCCTCCTCCTTTTCCTCCTGCTCCTCCTCCTCCTCCTCCTCCGTCCTACGGGGCGTCCTGCGCCTGAATTAGTGCGGGGTGCCCAGGAGCAGGCAAGCCGCCGGCGTGCTGCGACGGCCACGCGTCCTCCAGGAGGGCTCGAGGGCGCGGAGGGAGGAGGAGGAGAAGAGGAGGAGGAAGAGGAGGAGGAGGAGGAGGGGGAGGAGGAGGAGGAGGAGTAGGGGGGGAGGAAGGAGAGGGGAGGAGGAGGAGGAGGAGGAGGAGGAGGAGGAGGAGGAGAAGGAGGAGGAATAGGAGGCGGCGGCGGCGGCGCTCCACAAGAGTCCGATGACGGTTCGAACTAGGGAGAGAATGGGGACGACCCCTCAACTCTGCAGCTCGGCACCTCATCACACGAGGGGCACTAGCGGCAGCCCCGTGCATGCACGGGGGATGCCAGTGCACAGCCCGTCTCCGAAGTGGCTCCCTCCCGAAACTCGGAGGACGAGGAGGAGGAGGACGAGCCAGGGGGGCTAGAGGAGCAAACCCCTTGGCGACTTGCACCAACTTGCACGTCGAGCCTGCAAAGTCCTCCCTCCCCTCCTCCTCCTCCTCCTCCTCCCCTCCTTTTCCTCTCTTCCTCCTCCTCCGCTCCTCCTCCTCCTCCTCCTCCTCCTCCTCCTCCTCCTCCCCCTACTTCCCGTCCTATCCTGCACGCAGCTGTTGCTGCTCCTCCTCCGGGTCCTTGCATCCCCCTCCTAGTACTCATCTTCCCCCTCCTCCTCCTTTTGACTCCGTCGCATCCGGCTCCGCCTTCTCCGCCTCGTTCCCGCATGCTTCGTCGAAGGGCACACCCGCTCCCTCTGGAGAAAGCTACCAGCGCCTCCATGGAACGAACACCACTGTTACCAGCTTTTTCTGCGCACATACCTGCCACACAGAGAAGAATCGCATGGCAACGCGATGATGCGGATGGGAAGAACAAGCAGAAGCATAGCTACGCAAAGCAAGTCTACGCATTCCTTCGAGGTTTGTCCTCCATTAGCGAATGTCTTCGATTGGTCCGACCCCGCGTCGCTGCCAACAGCTTGGCCATCACTCCGATGGGTTCCGGATGTACTCCGACGACGTCAGGGGGCGTTATTCCAATGGACTGCAAATAGCCAATGACAGACGATCGGCTAGTTGTCTGTAGGGGCGATTGCTTGTCTGACTGCGTGCGACTACTATTTTGTGGAACCGTGCCCTTGAGTGATCTCGTTGTGGATAAGCTAAAAATCCGAAAGTGTGCATACTTTCCTAGGCGTTGGACTGCGTGCACTGTGCACGATTGCATAAATGATTGGTTGGTCCAATGGTCATTTGCGTTCTTGAATGCTTGCTTGCTTGCTTGCCTGGATGATTGCTGTTTCTGGTGGATTTGATTCATGACTGCGTGCGTACACGCATAATTGAACACTCATCCTCGCCCTCATCCTTCTCATCCTCTAACTCGGCAGGGGTCTTCAGGAACCAAGCGCGGCAGGGGGGGGATGGGGACAATTGAGCTGTGAGACTCGAGGCCGCTGGGCAGGCAATAGAAACGCAAGCAACGTTTGGATCATGTGATTGGTGGGCGGGACTCGTAAAAGCCTGCGGCTCGTATCGGCCAATGGACCAGTTTGCTGCTAGGGGGTGAAGCAGACCACTGGCCAAATCCCCAATAGCTCGTACAGCCTCGACCACTATCGAGGCTCATTTGTTCCCATGCAAGCATGCAAGCACATGGCATGGAGCGTGCTTCCGCAGAAGCGGTAATCATCTTGCTGTGTTACTAGCGCGCCGCAGGAAAAGTCCTGATCATCACTGCCACCAACCGGTTCACCAGCATCGCAACCCATCCTCAAAGGCATCCATCCCACTCATCAGCATCATCATCAGCAGCAACAGCGCAATCATAATCCGCATCGGCATCAGCATCTTCGATACCCGCCCTCTTCGTCTTCGATCGTGCCCCCTTTGGGGTATAGATCGTTATTACCTGCAGGGGAAGAGAGGACGGATGGAAGAAATCCACAAGGGGGGGAAGGAGGATGGAGCACAAGAGAGAGTAGCAAAAGGCGTGGTAGGAGCCGAAAACACCCGGCAAAACCAGACAGGCAGATCGGGCGGGTAGACCCGAACGGGCGGGTCGGAAAGGGGCGGGCCCAGGCGGCCAGGTCGAGCAGGCAGGTTGCTGAAGCGTGCGTCCTGCACGAATCGCGAGGAAGTCTCTGGTTATAGCGCGACTCCCAAATAAACCTTAAGGAAATCCACAGCGAGAGCGTGATTCCTGAGTGTCGAGAGCGCGGCGTCTGACTAAATTGCGCGGAAGTCCCACGCGAGAGCGCAATTCCTGTATAGAGTCTGAGGACGTCCCGCACGAGAGCGCGATGTGGAACTAACTTGTGAGGAAATATCAGGCGGGATCCATTCTTCTCGTAAGCTGGGGGGCAGGGTAACGATTCGGTGGCACCTGATTTCGCCTTGTAAAAACCTGGGTGCGAATCCAGAGAGAAGCATTTGAATTGACAAAGAACATGGTTACCAGAGCGGGCGACCAACAATAATTTTGCAGAAATGTAGCTTCAACAACTGCAACAACAACCAGCCAGCCAGCCAGCCAGCCAGCAATCAACCACGAATCAACCAACAACGAACAACCAACACACAACAGCCGCAACAACATCAACAACAACAGCACCGACAGCAACAACAAACACAACAAAAACAACAGCAACCACACCAACAACAACAACAACAACAACAACAACATCAACAAGATCAAAGCATCAACGCCTGTGTGTGCCCCTCCCCCCAAGGGCACATGAGTCCGGTCACTCGATTCGCATGACCACACTCCTGTGTCTCTGCCCCTCCCCACCCACGAGGGGGGGGGCAGCAACCAGCAGCCAGCACTCATACAAACAACTAACCACAAAATCCACTGGGACCCATCTGGGGGTCAACTCGGCCCTGCCTTCGCCAAACGATCGCGCGCTAGCGAAGCAACGCCTCTGGTTGCCTCCTCTAATGGGAACCTGTTAGGGATGGATGGAGCCCTAAAAGAAGCTTACCAGGGATGTATGGGTTTTTAGGGGATCATGGTAGGAGTGGATGGAACTCTTACAGGATCTTTTTATGGATGGGTGGGGCTCTAATCAAATCCTTTTGGGGGTGGATGGAGCTCTAATAAGATCCAATTAGGACTGGATGGAGCTCTAACAGGATCCTGTTCGGGATGGGTGGAGCTCTAATCGGGTCCTCGGGATGGATGGAACTCTCATAGGTTCCTGTTCGGGATGGATAGAGCTCTGATCGGATCCTGTTAGGGATGGGTGGAGCTCTACTAGGATCCGGTTAGGGATGGATGGGGCTCTAGTCGAAACCCGTTGGGGATGGATGGAGCTCTAATGAGATCATGTTAGGGATTGATGGAGTTTTTATGGAACCGATACGAATCAATTTGACTTAATGGAACAAATGCGAATCAATACGATTGGGAAAACCAATCACAATCAACGGGGGTCACTAAGGATCAACAGGAATCGATCGGCATCCATAAGAATTACCTGGGATCAATGGGAACCCATAGGAATGAGTTAGAACCAATGAGACTCGAACGTAATCAGTAAGAACCACTTTGGATCAACCATAATCACATAGAATCAGTACGAATCAATGAGAACCAATTGGCGATCAAGTTTAATCAATGGGAAGCAGCTAGAAACAGATCAATCGAAATCAATTCGAACCAATAGGAATCACATAGAATCAGCAGGAATCAATGAGACCCAACAAGAGTCAACAAAACCAGTGGAAATCAATTCGAATCCATTGGAATTAATTTGAATCACTGGGGATCAATCAAAACCAATGGGAATCAATGAGAGAGCGTGACCCACCGCCGCTTTACTGTGGAAAATTGACGCCCTGTTCCTCCGGAGCCCGGGGGTCCCCCCCCCCTCCGAAAATCCGCCCCCCCCTGCTGGACCCCCCCCCCCCTCCCCCCCTTTCCCCCGGCAAAGCCCCCCCCCTCCCCTAACCCCTCCCCCTCCCTCCCCCCCCCTCGAACTCGAAAACCGGGGGGGGTCACTACCGGTTCGAACCTCCCCCCCCCCTCGAAAACCGGAGGGGGGGGTCACTACCGGTTCGAACCACTGAGCTGTCCCACTGTTCCCACCACTGTCCCCACTGTCCCCACCACTGTCCCCACTGTACCTCTGTCCCATTGTCCCACCGCCGTCCTCGCCACCGCCTTCACCACTGTCCCCACCACCACTGTACCCTCCACTGTCCAACTGTTTCCAACACACTCCCACTGTCCACACACCACTGTTCCCACCACCACCGGTCCCACCACTGTCCCACTGTCCCCACTGTTCCCATCATTGTCCTCACCACTGTCCCCACCACTACCGTTCCCACCACTGTCCCGTTGTCCCCACCACTGTCCCGCTGTCCCCTCACCACTGTCCCCACCACCACCGTCCCCACCACTGTCCGCACCCCCCCTTGGTTTTCGAGGGGGGAGGGGGGGGCTTCGAACCGGTAGTGACCCCCCTCGGTTTTCGAGTTCGAGGGGGGGGGGTTCGAACCGGTAGTGACCCCCCCCCATTTTCATGATGAGCTGGGGGGCGGGGGGAGGGGTTCGAACCGGTAGTGACCCCACCCCAGGTTTTCCGGTGGGGGGGGGGGTGGGGTTCGAACCGGTAGTGACCCCCCCCCCCGGTTTTCCGCCAGCAGCGGTAGAACACGCTCTTTCGAATCAATCCAAGTCGATAGGAATCAATAGGGAACAACAGGGACCAATTACAATCGATACGAGTCAATGGGACTCACTTAACATCAGTTGGAATCAAAAGAAGTGCATTGGATTCAATATGGATGAATGATAAATCAATGTATCACTTAGAACCCAAAGAAATACATTAGAACCCAAAGGAAGATATGAGAAATAATGGCGATCAACAAGCACTACCTATAATCAATGAAAAACAAGGAGATCTAATAGAACAGATGGGGAGCAAAATGAGCATAACGCAATCAATTGGAATCAACTACACCCAATCGGAATAAATGAGAAACATGAGGAATCAAGTCGAATCAATGGGAATCAATCCGAAGCAATAGGAATCAATTGAAAAAAATACGTGATATCAACAGGAATCAATTAGAACTAGTAGGAACCAACACGAACCAATAGTACCCATTTTGAATCAATCGTAACCAAATGGAATCAATGAGTATGAACTGGAATCGACCGGGATCAACTAGGATCAACTAGAACCGGCAGGAATCAGGCGGAATCAATTTGAAGCAGTTGGACTAAAGTGAAAGCAACAGAGATCAACTACAAGCAACAGGAATCAATTATAATCAATCGAAATCAATTCATTAATCTGGCGAAGGACCCAACCATATGCAGTTGTGGATACCGCACTTGTGAATACCATCTTCGCCCGCGCTCCCTATGTGGCCACGGCTGCCCGCCGGAGCCCGACATGCTCAGGGACACGTTCGTGGCCGTCTTCGCGGGCGCCGACGACGACAAGGATGGCGCCCCTGTCACCGAGGAGCAGAAGCAGGAGAGGGCCTTGAGAGCCATGAGGCAGGAGGTGGCGTTGCACGTCGACAAGGCGGAGTACGACGCCCAGGCGCAGTTGTTGAAGCAGCACAACGATGGGGCCATGACCCTCGTGAGGGATGTGCCGCAGTGGCCCGGGGCCGCCATGCGAACCCTGCCACTGGCGCCTTCGGTGGAGCTCCCTATGGGGCCACGATCCTCGTGAGCGGTTTGCCGAAATGGCCCGAGGCCGCCATGCGAACGCTTCCACTGGCGCCTTCGGTGGAGCTCCCAATGGGGCCACCAACCGTGTGAGGGGTGAACCCTGCCACTGGCGCCTTCGGTGGAGCTCCCTATGGGGCCACGAACCGTGTGAGGGGTGCGCCAAAATGGGGCGGGGCCGCCATGCGAACGCTGCCACTGGGGCCTTCGGTGGAGCTCCCTATGGGGCCACCAACCGTGCGAGGGGTGCGCCAAAATGCGGCGGGGCCGCCATGCGAACGCTGCCACTGGGGCCTTCGGTGGAGCTCCCTATGGGGCCACGAGCCGCGTGAGGGGTGCGCCAAAATGGGGCGGGGCCGCCATGCGAACGCTGCGACTGGCGCCTCCGGTGGAACTCCCTATGGGACCACGAACCGTGTGAGGGGTGCGCCCAAATGTGACGGGGCCGACATGCGAACCCTTCCACTGGCGCCTAATCGGTGGAGCTCCCTATGGGGCCACGAACCGTGTGAGGGTGCGACAAAACGGGGCGGGGCCGCCATGCAAACGCTGCCACTGGGGCCTTCGGTGGAGCTCCCTATGGGACCACGAACCGTGTGAGGGGTGCGCCAAAATGGGGCGGGGCCGCCACGCGAACGCTGCCACTGGGGCCTTCGGTGGAGCTCCCTATGGACCACGAGCCGTGTGAGGGGTGCGCCAAAATGGGGCGGGGCCGCCACGCGAACGCTGCCACTAGGGCCTTCCGTGGAGCTCCCTATGGGGCCACGAGCCGGGGTGCGCCATGGGGCGGGGCCGCCATGCGAACGCTGCCACTGGGGCCTTCGGTGGAGCTCCCTATGGGGCCACGAACCGTGTGAGGGGTGCGCCAAAATGGGGCGGGGCCGCCATGCGAACGCTGCCACTGGGGCCTTCGGTGGAGCTCCCTACGGGGCCACGAGCCGTGTGAGGGGTGCGCCAAAATGGGGCGGGGTCGCCATGCGGACGCTGCCACTGGCGCCTTCGGTGGAGCTCCCAATGGGGCCACCAACCGTGCGAGGGGTGCGCCAAAATGGGGCGGGGCCGCCATGCGAACGCAGCCACTGGAGCCTTCGGTGGAGCTCCCTATGGGGCCACGAAGCGCTGGACTGGGTGGGCGAAACGCAGGGGGAGAAGGAGAGGAGAGGAGGAGAAGGAACGCGGGGCGACGTCTCTTCAAAAAGAGGACCCAACACCACAGGATTGTTGGGAAAAAATGGGACTCACTGAGAAGCCATAAGAATCTATAAGACCCACTTAGATTAGATCCCACCAGCCCTTTGGGTGTGAGTGGTCTAGAGAGCCCGCTCTGTTCTCAACCCCCTTCTTCCCCTTCGGGGAGGGGTTTACCCCTCCCCCTACCCCCTCCCCCTGGACCTAGACAGGGAGCCCGGGGTGGGGTCAGGGGGGCCTTTTTCGACTCCTGGGAGGGCCAAACAACGACGACCCTCACGAGGATTCTGGCCCCGAGGGGGGGGGGGGGGGGGAGTTTGGCACCTCTGCTCGTCTTTGAAGCAGAAATCATTGATTGTACTAGGGTGTTGGCCCCATTTTGGCGTCCTGATGGGGGCCGCGCTCATCTTCCCTCATAGCAGAATCATTGATGTTACGAAGGTTTTGGGCTCAATTTGTTATTGTCAGGGGGCAGCTCTCCCCTGCGCTTCTGCGGAGGTCGCAAGAGGCCCCAAGATGGACCCAAGAGGCCCCCAGGAGGCTCCCCAGAGGCCTCCCAGAGGCCCCCCCCAGAGGCCCCCAAGCGGTCCCAAGAAGCCCCCAAGAGCCTCCTCAGAGGCTTTTTTTTCCATCCAAGGCCCCCAGCGGATTCCCGCCACAAGGCCCGACCGCCGCATCCGCGGCCTGAGCACCTGCTAGCCCAGCATTTGCCGAGCACGCCAGCTCCGAGCCAGGCGGAGCCCCGAGGCCCCCGCGACGCGACCTGGCCTCAGGGCTCCGCACTCTTGTTCTTGTCTGCACGGCGCCTCCGACCTCGCGCGTCGGGATCGCCGAACAGGAGACCCCCCCCAGGGTCGGGCGGCAGGTCCGTCGGCGTCCACCTCGGTCCCTGCAGCACCTCGCCCGTCAGCAGGCACCGCTCCTTCGGCTCGTCGGTGCTGTGGCCTTCAGGCGCCACGAAGCCCTCGACGCCCTGCGCCTCGAGCTCCGCCACCTCGTGCCCCAGGATCCCCTCCTTCTCCTCCGTCTCCTGGGACGCCTCCCCCTCGCCGCCCCCGCGCAGCAGGGCCGAGGGGAACTCCTCCAGGTAGGTCGCGACTGCGGCGCCTCGGGAAGACGCGCGGGGAGCTGCAGTGCACGTCGTGCTGCTCGCCGTCCCCCCCATCGTCCTCCTCGGTGCCCTCGCCTAGACCTCCCCGTACGTCGTCACGTTCTGCGTCGCCTGCAACCGCCGCGGCAGTGCCCGTCCCGAGCTCGCCGTCGATGGTGGCTGCTATGGCCCGACGCCTGCCTGCCAGCTGCTCCTCCAGCGCCACGTTGCGCGCCTTGGCAAGCTCCCAGGCGTCCTCCAGCCGCGCGATGCTCTCGAGCTGCGCGTCCTCATCGGCCCGCTCGGCCTCCAGCGCCGCCAGCTCGCCCAAACGCCACCCGGCTGCGAAGCCTCCCGTGAAGGCCTGAACCTCCGCCACAAGATTCTCCGCCTGCCAAACGCCAGGTGCCAGCCAGCCGCACTTCCGTGCCACGTCCTCGCTCTCCAGCTCCTCCACGCCCTTCTCCACCAGCTCCTGCGCCGAGCCCCCGTAGAAGAGAAAGGAAGGGGACGCCTCCTGCACCGACTCCCCAAGCTCCGCCGTCAGGCTCCGCTCAGGTGCGTGTTGCTCGCACTCCTCCACCCTGGGCGTCACGCCGAGAGCTTCCAGGAGCACGTCCTCCCGCTGCTGCACTGGCGCTCCCCAGACCCCTGGGGGCCGCCGCGGCTGATAGGGGGCCGCCCCCGCGTCCAGCCTGGCGCCGCCGTCCGCCATCTGCAGCTTCCGCTCGACATCCGCGACCGAGATAGCCTCCAGGGGCACAGGCCGCAGCTTCGCCGCGCGAGGCGGCGCGGCGTGTCGGGCCCAATTGCCCCATTCCAGGTCCTCGACCGCTGCCTCCAGGATGCCGTCGCTGATGCCCAGGACCCGCCCCGCGGCAACAACCTCGCCGAAGGTGGGAGCGTGGCCGCCCAGGCGACCCGCCAGCCGCCAGTGCGCCGCCAGGGCGCGACGGATGGCGGCGGTCCTCACCGCGAGCGCCGAGGCCCGCGTCTCGCCATCGGCTTGCCTTCGCATCCGCCGAAGGCGCCGTGCCAGCGAGCGCGCGCTGGCCGCAGCCCGGCGCCTGCCCCCAGCACTGCTCTCCATGGCCGCTGGCACGCGCCCGAGCGCCCCACGGGCGCGCGCCGCGCGAGGGCCTCCCGCACGCCAGGCTCGCTTGAGCCAAAATGGCTACGGAGAGCCTCCCCAGAGGCTCCCAAGAGGCCTCAAGAGGGCCCAAGAGGCTCCCAAGAGGCTCCCCACAGGCCCCCAAGAGGCCCCCAAGAGGCCCCAAGAGGCTCCAAGACGCCCCCAAGAGACCCCACGAGGAGCCCGAACGACTCACACCAGGACGAGGGGCCCGAACAACTCACACCACGAGAAGCCCGAACGACTCACACCAGGACGAAGAGCCCGAACGACTCACACCACGAAGAGCCCGAACGACTCACACCAGGAAGAAGGGCCCGAACGACTCACACCAGGACGAGAAACCCCAAACGACTCAAACCACGAGGAGCGTTTTCTCTCCCTCCTCCTCCGCCTCGTCCTTCTCCCGCTCCCCCCACAAGGAGGATGTACAAGGAGGCGGGAGGAAGGAGGAGCAGGGGAGATATGCGGGGCCAAGCGGACACACGCCTGAAAAACACTACTGTCGGCATGCTTCGCGAGAGTTGCTGCTGTGAGATGGGCTGGTGGGGATACGCGAAGCGTAAAGAATTAGAGTCAATAGGAAACACCTAGATTCAGCAGGCATCACTGAAGATCAATAATGACCACTTAGTAACCATATGAACCAACTAAAATCAATAATCATAACAATGGCCATGCTAGTATCAATAAGCATAACAACATCAATAAAAAAAACTACGAATAACATGTAAACATACCCAATTGGAAGCAGTAGAGAGCAACCGGAATCACGTATGATCAATCAGATTCAATTGGGATCAATAAGAATCAACGAAACTCAACAAAAAACAATGCTAATCCATAAAAATAAATCAGACACAATGAAACGGAATTTAAACCGATAAGAATCAATTCGCATCAATAGGAACCAAGTAGAATCAATGAGAATCAATCATGATCAATGGAACGCAATTGAAATCAATCGGAATCAATAGGGATCAGTAGGGGTCAAATGGAATCAACAGAAATCAAGTATACTCAATAGGAATCAATAGGGATCAATAAGGGTCAATTGGGAACAAGTGGAATCAACAGGACTAGTACTCCCTAGGGCTGTTACTCCGTAGCACGAGTAATCCCTAGGACTAGGAGTCCCTAGGACTAGTGCACCCTAGGGGTAGTAATCCCTAGGACTAGTACTCCCTACGGCTGGCACTCCCTATGGATTGTACTCCCTAGGACTAGTACTTCTTATGAGTGGTACTCCCAAGGATTAGTACCCCCTAGGACTAGCACCCCCTACGAGCAGCACTCCCTGGGAATAGTACTCCCTAGGACTGGAAAAGCCCAGGACTCGTAATCCCTAGGGCTGGTGTTCCCTAGGGCTATTGATTCTTTGGACTAGTAATCCCTAGAGCAAGTGCGCCCCGGGGCTACTGCTCCGTAGGACTAATGATCCCTTGGACTCGGAAGCCCTAGGACTAGTAATTGTTAGGAATACTAATCCGCAGGACTAGTAATCCCGAGTACTGCCCATGTACTTGCACACATATGTGTATATACATGTAAATATGTGCACACATATATACGTGCTCTTCCAGCTCCCTCCTCCTCCTCCTTTTCCTCGTCCTCGTCCTCCTCCTCCTCCTCCTCCTCCCCCTCCTCCTCCTCCTCCTCCTCCTCCTCCTCCTCCTCCTCCTCCTCCTCCTCCTCCTCCTCCTCCTCCTCCTCCTCCCCTCTCCCCCCTCCCCACGACTACGGCTGCGGTCGAAAAGCAAGAGAGCGTTTTTGTTTTCTGCGCAACCCTTCCCCCAGAGTTGCTCTGGCCATGTTGTCGTGCAGGCGACTCAGAATAGAGCGGTTTGAAAGTGCCCCTCCTCCTCCTCCTCCTCCTCCTCCTTCTCCTCCTCCTCCTCCTTCCTCGGGTGCCAACATACCTCGTCCTGCCAGGCCCGTCATCTATCAAGTTCACAACCGAGCCACGGCTAGATCCTCCTCTACTACCACAACCCAGGCACGATCCGCGATCCTCGTGTGAAGATATTGAATGTGAGCAAGGCTGGGGGCCCAAGGTGGGAACCGGGCGCCTTGGCGGCTGGGAGCCCACGGTGGGGTCTAACAAAGCAACAAGGAGAAGTCCCTCAGAGACCTCACGGAGGTCCACAGGAGCGCGGGTCCTTTTTCGCAATTGAGCCCCCAGGTCTTCTTTAAGCACTAGTCCCACTACAACGCGACCAAAATGAGGACGCAACACTACCATAATACTACCACACTACGGCACCACCACCACAATACCATTACCACAACACCACAAAACCGCTACCGCAGTACCGCTGCCACATCACCACATCACCGCTAACACTATACCACGACCACAACACCACAACACTACCACAACACCACTACCAAAGCACCAGTGCCATTACCGCAACACTGCTACAACACTACTAACAGCTCAACAACATTACCAACACCACACTACTAACACAGCACCACCACATCACCACTGCGAAAGCAAAACAGGGGTCTGTTACGGATTCGCCGCGCACTACCACCACTGGTAATGTTGCAATAACCAACGGCCCAGGCACGTCGGCGAGGCTTCTGACCCCGCAGCCCACGCACGGCGGAGTGGCATCTGAATAGGAGGAGGAGGAAGCAGAGGAGGAGGAGGAGGAGGAGGAGGAGGAGGAGGAGGAGGGGGATGAGGAGGAGGAGGAGGAAGGAGGAGAGGGAGGAGAAGGACGAGGAGGAGGAAGGAGGAGAGGAGGAGGAGGAGGAGGAGGAGAGGAGGAGGAGGAGGGAGAGGAGGGAGGAGGAGGAGGAGGAGGAGGAGGAGGAGGAGGAAGAGGAAGAGGAAGAGGAAGAGGAAGGAGGAGGAAGGAGGAGGAGGAGAGGAGGAGAGGAGGAGGAGGAGGAGGGAGGAGGAGGAGGAGGAGGAGGAGGGAGGAGGAGGAGGAGAGGGGGGGGAGGAGGAGGAGCCCTTCCTCCCTCCTCCTCCTCGAGCCCCACCCCCGCCCCTCCTCGCAAAAGTCCGCCCCCCCCCTCCGCCAGGTTCCCCCTGGGCAGGGCGGTCGCGGGCCTCAGGCGGAGATGTTGTTCCTCTGCAGGCCGAGGAGGCGAAACCAGTCAGCAACGATTAGCTTGAGACACCTCGAGTATTCCCGCGGTCGTGGGACGCGACCCTGCAATGCCGTCGCCAGCCCTAGCAGGAGACGCACTGACCGCTGGGCACTATCGCCCACGGGAGAAAAACGCTACACGAGCATGCGGGCGCAAACGGCCGCCAAGCCGCGCATCAACGCCCAGCCGCTTAGCGCCCCCTGCCAGCTGCCACCAGCAACCTACGCCCACAATTGGGACACGCGCGCTCACAGTCAACGGCTAGGCGCCAGGACATTGCCGCGAGAGCCGCTGGGGAAGCAAGCGTGATTCACTCCGCATTTAAGAATCGAAAGCATATGCATGGAGGCAAATAACAAGTTCACCGTTGAGCTATGAGCGGTATGCCTCGCACTCCCCTAGCAGGCAACGCGAGAACACACCAGGGTCAGCAGCGGCTGCAGCCTCACGTGCCTGCGCGCGAAAACGCACGCCAGGGGCAAAACGATAGACTCTATCTGGCCCGAACAGCAACGTTTAGCTTGAGACAAAAGAGGCAGCAGAGGCGGCAACAGTTTAGCCACCGATGAGGCACGACAAATGCCTTAGCCCGAGTTGGCATTCTTCGACGCCGCTCCACGGGCCTGCACCCTCGCAAGCAGAGCCGCCATCCTCTCGTTCTGAGGGAAGGCGGAGAGTCCTGAGTGATGCCGCGACGACGCGGGACTGGACACATCAGCAGGCGCAGGCGTCTGCGCAGCGCAGCCCAGAAAAATCACACACCGCCTCGACGAGCGGGACGCCATCTCGTCCTCGTTCCTATAATGAGGATGGAGGCCTGACGACGCAATGACAGAAGGCCCACGGCGCCGACCTGCGGCGCGGGCGCCTCCAGGCGTCCGACAAAGACGGCGGTCAACTCCAGGCTCGCGAAGATCACGACGGCCACCTCAAGGCACTCGGAGCTGACGAACTCCGGGCTCGCGATAAAGAACGACGGCCACCTCCGGGAGCACGGAAAACACGATGGCCACCCGAGCGCCCTCAAACGCCTCCAGGCCCTGGATCGCCACCGGGCCCTCGCCCGCGCCGAGGCCCCCCTTACCGCGTCCAGGCCCAGCATCACGAAGGGCGCCTCCCCGCACCCGAAGCCGACGGCTGTCACCTCCAACTTCATCAGGGAGCCGGGGAGGCCCAGGCTGCGGTCCACCATGTGCACGATCATTCCCAGGCACACGACAAAGACGACAGTCATCTCTGAGCACGCGAGAACATTGATGGTCACCTCCAGGCAAACGAAGATCACGATGGTCACCTCCAGGCCCTCGAACACCGACGGACGCATCGAGGCCCTGGACCGCCGCCAGGCCCGGGATCCCCTCCAGGCCCACTATGGCCTCCAGGCCTAGGATCACGTCCATCACCTTCTCGCACTCGACCATGTCGATGGGTGCCTCCATGCACTCGTAGATGCCGACGGGCACCTCCAGGCACACGAAGGTCGAGACGGTCACCTCCATGGGCTCGCAAAAACATGTCGGTCACCTTCAGGCACTCGCAGATCACGCCGTTCACCTCCAGGTCGTCGATGATGACGGCGCTCACCTCCAGGTCCTGGAGCACTTCGAGGTCCTTGATCACCACCGGGACCTCAATCGCACCCAGGTCCACGATCGCGTGCGAGTCCTGCACGGCAAACACCTCGGAGCGCCAGCTGACGACATCGGCATCGACCTGCACCGCGAACAGGGCGACGTCGGACCTTCAGCTTCGCACCCCGGGTGAACTAACTCGCCACTCATCAGCACCGCCGAACTCCCATGGCTCCCAGGGACTGCTGGCGTCTCGAAGAAGATCCCTGCAAGGCCCGAGACACGCTCGAGCCCGAAACGCCTGCCTCAGACGGAGAGGGCCAAGCTCTGGCCATCCCTCGGACGTCCGTTCCCTGTGTTTTTGTTGGGGTTTCGTGCGTGTTCAGTTTTTCGCCAATTTTTTCGTAATTTTTCTGCGTGTTCATTATTTTGCGTGTTTTTTCCCGCCCAATGATCAAGGATGCTCTTCGATGGTCCTCGCCGAAGGAAAAATGCACACGTCCGAGCGATGCCAAGGAGCCTGAGAACGGAGGCAGCCTCGGGCGGGAGCGGACCCGTGGGACCTCGGGGGCCCGGAGGGCCCCTGCGGCCAGCGGGACACGCTGGGCATCCCGCGGGATCGCGGAGGACCCTGTGACGGTGCGGGCGCGGCCGCAAAAGAAACCCGCGCAACAACACCCAACCCTGAGACTCGCCATCGCTCGGACGTCCATTCCCTGTGCTCGTTTCGGTTTCGTGCGTGGTGTTTTCGCCAAGTGATCAAGGATGCTCCTCGATGGCCCTCGCCGAAGGAAACATGCACACGTCCCAGCGATGCCAAGGAGAACCCGTGCGCGAGGTGCACCTGAGGGGAAACGTGAAGCACCCTGAGCGCAGCAGCTCCTTCCACGGCTGCGAAAAGTCAACGCGCGCAGCGCGGGGAGCGAGGAAGCCCAGCACATACCCCGACGAAAAGCAGATGGCTTCTTGATGCGCGCCCCCCCCTGTAAACGAGTGACGCCTGTGGGACCTGTGGGACCCGCGAAACCTGCGATGCCCGTGGGATTCGCGCGGCCTGCGGGGCCTTTGGAACGCGCGGGGCCACCGCCGCAGCCCCCCAAAGGCGTCCCGTGCAGGACCATCGTGGGGCCACGAAGCGTGCGATGGGGTGCTCCGAAGGTTTCCCGCCGTTCCCCTGGGGCTCCTCGCGTCTTCTCGCGTGACTTGTTCGGGCCCATGAGGACTCGAAGACGGGCCAAGAGAGGGCCCCCAGAGGCCCCAAGACGGTCCAAGAGGGCCCCGAGACGCCAAAACATCGCCCGAAGACGCTCGAGATGGCCCCAAGACAGCCCAAGAGACCTCCAAGACGCACCAAGAGTGCCCCAAGAGCTCTCCGAAAAGGGCCCCAAGATGCCAAATTCACTGGTCGTCCTGTAGTTTTTAAAATGATTTTGATGTTCTCGTCTTTGAGGCTTCCCGACGCTCCCAGACGGCCCTAGAGGCCCCCAAGACCGCCCCAAGACGGCCCTGGAGGCCTCCAAGAGGGCTCCAAAACGGACCAAGAGGGCCCCAAGACAGCCCAAGGGGCGCCCAAAACGGCCGAAGAGGCCCCAAGACGGCCCCACAAAGAGGGAAGACAAACCGAAAATCCTAGCCTTCCGCCCCAAGAGGCCCCCAGGAGGCCCCGAGAGGCGCCCAGGAGGCCCCAAGAGGCAGGGGGCGGCGGTGATTTGCCGTAGGCGTCTTCGATACCGCAGCAAGCACAAGACTAGGGGAACAGAAAGTGGCATAAACATGAAAACTCAGAGGTCCGCGCGGACTTCTCGGATCGGCGCTGGACCCCCCTCCCTGGCGCGCGGAGCGTGCCAGGGGCGGCGCCGGAGGCGCCGCCGGGGAGCCCCAGCGCCGATCCGAGAAGTCCGCGCGGACCTCCGAGTTTTTATGTGTATGCCACTTCTTGTTCCCCTATGCACGGGGGGTGGGGTCGTCTCGAGCTTCGACGCTGGGCAGCCGTGCGGACGTCGGGCTGCTCCTCTCTCCACCGCGGGGCGGGGCCGTCGCTGGCAAAAAACGCGCCTCGGCGGCGAGGCTCGGAGGGCGCTCGAGACTTTCTCAGGGGGGGCGCGCCTCCTGCAGCAGGGACGCGGGGGGCGCAGGAGCTCTCGTGGGGAGGGGGGCCGGGACGGGAGGGTGGTTCTGCGGCACCGTGGGCACGACGCGGGTCTGCTCCGGCCATCCCCCGTTCTCCTCGTCCCTCCTTCTCCCCCCTGCCCCCTCCCCCTCCTCCTGGGACGGCCAGGGGATCGGGACGACGCCGCGCAGACGCGCAGACACACACACACACACACACAAACACACACACACACACGCACACACACACACACGCACGCACACACGCACACGCGCACACGCGCACACGCGCACACGCGCACACACACACACACACACACACGCACGCCTTCGACGAACCCACGGCGACGACGATGCCCACCCCGGGCAGCTGTCGCCCTCCCCGGGTGCAGGCCGCCTCGCGGCCGCTCCGCAGGCCAGGCCGCAGCCCGCCCCGCTGTCGCATCCGATCACTGCGGCCTCCGCTCCGCCCCGCTCCGCCTCCTCCTTCTCTTCCTCCTCCCCCTCTTCCCCCTCGCCCTCCTCCTCCTCTTCTTCCTCCTCCCCCTCTTCCCCCTCCCCCTCCTCCTCCTCTTCTTCCTCCTCCTCCTCGTCCTCCTCCATCCTCCTATTCCTTGCCGTGGCGTGTGCGGTGCTCTTCGAGGACAATTTCGGACGATAGGGCGAGCCGAGAAGGTGGGCCGTCAGGCAGGCCGTGTTTGTCCATCCTACGCTGTCGCGTATCTTACCTGACCTCCAAGCCACAGTGCGAGAAGGAAACCAGTGGAGCACGGACTCTGCAAGTGGCACTGCCAAGCATGCTGCTACATGAACTGATATATTTCGAATTCGAAAGAATGCCCCACAATTGTTCTGGAAGCCTGCTCACCTTTCGCTCGAACAGGTGATTGGAAAAGGGCTCAGCGTGTACCTGTGGGCTGGGAATCTCTGGGCGGACGTTTTCGCTAAAATCGGTTCGGCATTCCACGCTTTTTCTGAAGGATTCGCTAAAGCCTTGGCAGGAGAGTTCCAAATACCATAAGTCTATGATCCGATTCATCGCCTGGGTCGCACAGACGATGGCCCAGTGATCTGCCCGCGAAAACTGTTTTCGCCCCGAGTCATGCTGCCGATCCCAAGGTTCAGATCACCAGTCACATTATGTGTAGGAGTGAGGACAGAGGCGAGTGGAAGTGTAAGCTGTGTCGCAGCGCCGCCCGCAACGAAGCTGCCCGGCCCTGCTCACCAATCGTGCTACGCGGGAGTGCGGACCCACCCCTGTCCAAGCAGCGGCCACGGCGGAGTGGTTTAGATTGCATGGACAATCCTCCACAGTGGTGCGAAGTGAAGCGGTGAGTGTTGCAGTAGGGCTGGCCGAGGTCCTGGCCCAGGAGGATGTGGAGCCCCCAGGAGGCCTTCCCCCCTGGGCCCCCCCCATCCGACCCTTGTGCCTCTGACCCTCTCGCTCCCTTCAAGGACCTCGGCCACGACCCTTCCTTAGCTGGCCCTGTGCTCGTGTGCAGCAGGTGCAGCGCGCACGGCACACCAGGCTCGCTCCGCAAGTTGTCCTGGGGACTGTACAGCCAAGACGCTGTAATCAGGAACGCCTCGGGTGCGGAAGGGCCTCGCCGTTCCTCGAGCTCTTCCATGGCTCCTCCTCCGTCACCCCTCGTGCACCTATTAGGCGCTTCTGGGGCCAAGAAGGGGCGTCGTTTCTTAGTTTAGCGCTCCTTCTGATAGTACATCGACTCGGGGATGAACAGACCCCCCTTTAGTAAAACGTGGTTTAGTGAAAACGACCTGAGGCCCAAACCTGGCGGGCGCAAGCCCGGAAAACAACGGCCACGGCGCCCTCTCGAGAACCGAAAGCGGACAATTCACTGATCGACGTGTCACTGTTGGGGGTTCTGTCGTTCTGTCCACCCCCGATCGACTGCAAGGGACCCAGCAGCGTGGCTGCCACGCTCGCCGACCCAGAGGTCCATGGCCGGGCGCGCCGAGCGGGGCCTGCACCCCAAGACGGGGCAGAAGACAACCACTTGCGGCGAGGAGCGCCGAGGTCTCCGCGCCTCGACGCCCTCGGGCTCTGGCGCGGGCGCGGAGGCTCCTGGTGCTTAAAAAAAGAGCGCGCTCCACTACTCGCAAAGTAGCTACTCTCGCAAATGGCCTGGATCCGCCGCGGGGGATCTACGATACATTACATCGAGGGTCACATGTGTTTTTCGGGCGGTTGCGAGTATGCACTTTGCGAGTAGTGGAACGCGCCCGGTGAGTGCTGACGGGAGCCAAGATAGTCGCGCCCGCGGGCCCCAAGGGTGAGCTTGTTTTTTGGCCCTGCCTTCTTTTGTCGTCGTCGCCCGTCGCCGTCCCCCCCACCGCATACGTCTACTACGTCGGTGTCGGCTCGGAGTGCGGGGATGAGGCGCCGCGGCGCGGCGACGTGGAGGCAGGGACCTTCTTCTTTCACAACCGTGCTCTCTAGTGCTGCGGCTGCCCTCTGACGAACTGGACCTCCCATTCGAGTCTCGGCTCTTCTGGGAGGCGCAACGGCCTGCCCCCCCCCCCATTCCTCCTCCTCCTCCCCCTCCTCCCTCCCCCTCCTCCTCCTCCTCCTCCTCCTCCTCCTCCTCCTCCTCCTCCTCCTCGTCCCTCGTCCCTCCGTCCTCCTCCTCCTCCTCCCCTCTCCTCCTCGTCTTCCTCCTCCTCCTCTCCTCCTCCTCCCTCCTCCTCCTCCTCCTCCTCCTCCTCCTCCTCCTCCTCCTCCTCCTCCCTCCTCCCTCCCCCCCCCTCCCTCCCTCCCCTCCCTTCCCTCCTCCCTCCCTCCCCTCCCTCCCTCCCTCCCTCCTCCTCCTTCCTTCTCCTCTCCTCCTCCTCCTCCTCCTCCTCCTCCTCCTCCTCCCCTCTCCTCTTCCTCCTCTTCTCCTCCTCCTCCTCCTCCTCCTCCTCCTCTCCTCCATTTCTTCCTTCCTCCTCCCCTCCTCCTCTTCCTCCCCCCTCCTACTCCCCCCTCCTCCTCTTCTTCCTCCCTTCCCTCCCCCCCGGACGCCAGCGGCGACGAACACAGTTCGAGGACAGCGGTGGCTGGCGGCAAACGACGACGGGGACGTCCTGGCCACCAGCCGAGGCGCTGCCCGGGCTCCGCGCGAACGGGCTCGCCGCCCCCTCGCGCGCGCCCCCCGGCGCCGACGCCAGCCTCTTGAGGCCCGCCCACTCCGACTGCCACTGCCTCGGGGCGGAGGTCTGGCTCCCAGTGTCAAGAAGGAGGAGGAGGAGGAGGAGGAGGAGGAGGCACTGGGGAGCGGGGGGGGCTCCTCCCTCCTCCTCCCCCCACCCCCCACCCCTCCGCCTCCTCCTCCGCCTCCTCTCCCTCCGCCTCCTCCGCATCCTCCTCCTCCGCCTCCTCCTCCGCCTCCTCCGCCTCCTCCTCCTCCTCCTCCTCCCCCTCCTCCTCCTCCCGCCTCCTCCCGCCTCCTCCCGCCTCCTCCTCCCCACTGGGGCCTTCGGTTGAGCTCCCTATGGGGCCACGAAACGCTGTACTGGCCTGCTTGCGCGCGGGCAGCTGCCACGGCGCGCCCAGACCGATTCGCTGCATCGGAGGGAAGCAGAAAACAAGAAGAGGGCGCACGAGAGTTGAGTCGGGCGTGTCCCCCCTACACGGGGATCTTCGAGGAAAAAAGAAAAGTACCCCAAAAATGCTCCAAAATTCTCTAAAATGCTCAAAAAGTAGTCCCCAGACTATTTTACTATCTTTAAACATTCCCTCTGTAGAGGGACAGGCCCGACTTCTCACGAGAGCGACAAAGGACGACCACAGAGCACCCCAGAAAGCCCGCTCGCGGGTCCCGGATCCGGAGCGCCCAAAATCTTCGACGGGCAGGTTCTTCCGCATTTCCGGATCATGGATTCCGACTTCGGTCCGCGGGGCAAGTAAACAAAACCGTCTCGGAGTGAAGTTCTGGCCTCAATGGGCCCCAGGAGGAATCGGGGGATGGATCTCGAGCGGGAATTTCTCGGGGGCGAAAGAGGAGGAGGAGGAGGAGGAGGAGGTGGAGGAGGAGGAGGAGAAGGAGGAGGAGGAGGAAGAAGAAGGCGGAGGGATCTGCAGTAGGAAGGAGGGGGGGGTAGGTGGAGGGGGAAGGGAAGGAGGGAGGAGGGGGAGAACGAGGGGGGGGGGACGGCCGAGAGGGGCAAAGAAAAGGGGAGAGGCAGAAGGGCGGGCGGGCGCTCCAGGGGGGGGGAGGCCCGAGATGAAGGGGGGGGGTGGGGGGCCGAAAACGAAAGGGGGAAGGCGGGCGAACCTCCCCTCCCATTCCCTCCCAGACCCCACTCTAGGGGGCCCACGTGGAACCCTGCCCTGCCCCCCGCGATTTCTGAGTGGGGGGGGGGGGGGGGGGGGGGGGGGGCTCTCTTCCTTCGCTCGGGACCCCCGGAGCGGAGCGAACCCCACCCTCCCCCTCAGAACTCGTGGGGGGCAGGGGCAGGGTTCGCATGTGGCCCCCCACTCTCCTGAAAACTCCCCGCTGGGGGTTCTCGCGCCCTTCCCCCTTACCCCGTGCCCTGTGCCCTGCCGCTCGGATGCCGCGAGCCCCCTCATTCTGGTCCTCGCGGCCTTCGCTCGAGCCCCCCCCCCCCCCCGCGCGCCGCGCGCGCAGACTTCTGCCGCCCTCGTGCGGGCCGCGACCTCGGACGGCGAGAGGCGGCGCACTGCTCAAGAGACCAGCGCGCAGCGAGCCTCGCGGCGGAGACAGGGAAACGGGAGGCGGGAGAGACGGGGGGAGGACGGCGGACGCGGGCAACTCAGACGGAGCTGCTGCTCCAGAGTCCCGAGGCGGTGCGGTGGCGGACTGTGCGGTGATCTCGAAGTCCCCCAGGGCCTCACCGCACGGTCCGTCAACACACGTTTTGGGGACCTCGGATGCCCCAGCCGCCCGAGACGTCCTCGGGAAACGGCCCGAGTCCCAAGACTAGGCGAGGCGAGGCGCCGATGTGCGTCCAAAAAGGCGGCGCTGCGAGAGCATGGCATACGGGCTGGAGGGGGAAGGAAGCGGTGGGGAGGAGCCAGAAGAACGGAGGAGGACCAGGACGCGGACGCAGCGGCTGGCGAACAGCGAGAGGACGAGAAGGTACCGGCGAGCGGGCGGAGGAGGAGGAGGAGGAGGAGGAGGAGGAGGAGGAGGAGGGCGGGGAGGGGAGGAGGGGGGGAGGGGGAAGGGGGGGGATGAGGATGGCAGGAGTGGGGGGAGGAGGAGACGGAAGACTGATTTTTGGTTGACCTCGACAGGCGCCTCGCGCATTCAATGACTCACGAGGAGGACGAGAAGACGAGGAGGAGGAGGAGGAAAGAGAGGAGGAGATGAGGAGAGGAGGAGGAGGGGAGGGGGAAGGAAAGGGGAGGAGGAGGAGGAGGCGGAGGCGGAGGCGGAGGCGGAGGCGAAGGAGGAAGAGGCGGCGGATGAGGACGCGGCGGAAGGAGGGAGAGGTGAGGAAGGAGGAGGCGGAGGGAGGAGGAGGAGGATGGGGAGGGGGAGGAGAGGAGGCGGAGGCGAGGGGCGGAGGCGGAAGGAGATGAGGGAGGAGGAGAGAGGAGGAGGAGAGGAGGAGGAGGAGGAGGAGGGGGAGGACCACGGGGCGGGGTCTGGTCCCCCGGGCCGCCCCGCCACCCAGGCCCCGGCACCCCGGCCCCGGCCTCGGCCGCGGCCGCGGCCGTGGCCCCAGCCAGGGGGCCACCTGCCACGATCTGTTAAAGACGGACTACTGCGAAAGCATTTGCCAAGGAGGTTCGCATTGACCAAGAACGGAAAGTTAGGGGATCGACGACGATCAGATGCCGTCCTGGTCCTAACCACAAACCAAGCCGACTAGAGAAAGGGGGCCGTTATGAGGGGGAGTGTGGGGCTCTCTTCGCTCGGGAGCCCCCGAGCGGAGCGAACCCCACCCTCCCCCTCAGAACTCGTGGGGGGCAGGGGCAGGGTTCGCATGTGGCCCCCCACTCTCCTGAAAACTCCCCGCTGGGGGTTCTCGCGCCCTTCCCCCTTACCCCGTGCCCTGTGCCCTGCCGCTCGGATGCCGCGAGCCCCCTCATTCTGGTCCTCGCGGCCTTCGCTCGAGCCCCCCCCCCCCCCCGCGCGCCGCGCGCGCAGACTTCTGCCGCCCTCGTGCGGGCCGCGACCTCGGACGGCGAGAGGCGGCGCACTGCTCAAGAGACCAGCGCGCAGCGAGCCTCGCGGCGGAGACAGGGAAACGGGAGGCGGGAGAGACGGGGGGAGGACGGCGGACGCGGGCAACTCAGACGGAGCTGCTGCTCCAGAGTCCCGAGGCGGTGCGGTGGCGGACTGTGCGGTGATCTCGAAGTCCCCCAGGGCCTCACCGCACGGTCCGTCAATACACGTTTGGGGGACCTCGGATGCCCCAGCCGCCCGAGACGTCCTCGGGAAACGGCCCGAGTCCCAAGACTAGGCGAGGCGAGGCGCCGATGTGCGTCCAAAAAGGCGGCGCTGCGAGAGCATGGCATACGGGCTGGAGGGGGAAGGAAGCGGTGGGGAGGAGCCAGAAGAACGGAGGAGGACCAGGACGCGGACGCAGCGGCTGGCGAACAGCGAGAGGACGAGAAGGTACCGGCGAGCGGGCGGAGGACAAGGAGGCGAAGGGAAAAAGAGGGCGAGGCGAGGACCCTCCTCATCCTCCTCCTCCACCTTCTCCCCTCCTCGACTCCATGAACCTCGAAACCTCGATCCTCGAAACCTCGATCCTCGAAACCTCACTCCTCGAAACCTCGAAACCTCGAAATCTCGAAACCTCGAAACCTCGATCCTCGAAACCTCGAAGCCTCTGTCCTCGGGGAGTCGGGGCCGGACGGAAGGCGAGGTCGAAGAGGCAGGGCGGGGCGGCGGCGGAGGCGCGGCCGGATCTGCGCTCCGAGGGGCGCGGCGTCGCTGCGCGGCAGCGCCGCCTCGGCCGCCGCCAGGAGCTCTGCGGAGAGGGCCCTCGCGGGTGCGAAGCGTGGGGGCGGGGCCTCCCTCCTCCTCCTCCTCCTCCTCCTCCTCCTCCTCCTCCTCCTCCTCCTCCTTCTCCTCACCCTCCTCCTCCTGCTTCTGCTTGCTGTGCTCGTCCTCCTCCTCTTCCTCCTCCTCCTCCCTCCTCCTCTCCTCCTCCTCCTCCTCCCTCCTCCCTCCTCCTCCTCCACCTCCTCCTCCACCTCCTCCTCCTCCTCCTCCTCCTCCTCCTCCTCCTCACCCTCCTCCTCCTCCTCCTGCTACAACTGCTCTGCTGCTCGTCCCTCCTCCTCCCCTCCTCCTCCTCCTCCTCCTCCCTCCTCCCTCCTCCTCCTCCTCCTCCCTCCTCCTCCTCCTCCTCCTCTCCTCCTCCACCTCCTCCTCCTCCTCCTCCTCCTCCTCCTCCTCCTCCTCCTCCTCCTCCTCCTCTTCCTCCTCCCTCCTCCTCCCCCGCATCCTCCTCCTCCTCCTCCTCCTCATTCTCCTCACCATCCTTCTCCTGCTACTGCTGCGGCTCGTCCTCCTCCTCCCTCTCTTCCTTCACCTCCGCCTCCTCCTCCGCATCCTCCTCCTCCTCCTCCTCCTCCTCCTCCTGTTCCTGTTCCTCCTCCTCCTGCTCCTGTTCCTGTTCCTCCTCCTCCTCATCATCATGCCTTTCCTCTTCCTGATCCTATTATTGTGAATCGTCTTCTTCGTATTAGTCAGCTCACCATTCGCATCATGATTGGTATGATGGCTTGTACGGTGACTTGTAGTAGTACTCGTAGAATAGTAGTAGTAGTAGTAGTAGTAGTAGTAGTAGTAGTAGTAGTAGCAGTAGCAGTAGCAGTAGCAGTAGTAGTAGTAGTAGTAGTAGTAGTAGTACACCGGACTCGCTTCTATAGCGCTCACTTCTATAGTGCTCGCTTTGAAATTGTGGTCCGCAAGGGGCCGCACATGCAGGCACATGCCGCACAGTCGCATGAACATGCCCATGCAAATATACAAAAGCCTCAACAGCATTGCCGCACATGCGCGCACATGCCACACCGTCCGACGCACAGTCGAATGCACGGTCAAGCAAAACTCTGAAAGCATAGACGCACATGCCCGCACATGCCGCAGAGATGTCGCAGGCGATAGTGGCCTGACCACCTGAGCTCGGGGCATTTCGCAACCCAGAGTTCCGAGGATGTCTCAGGCAAGCGTGGCCGGATCACCATGGGGCAGGGCATCTTGGAAACCAGAGTGGCGAGGATGTCGCTGGTCAAGGTGACCAGACGACCATGGGGCAGGACACCTCCGAGGTCTGAGTTGTGAGGATGTCTCAAGCGAAAGTGGCCTGACCACCATGGGGCAAGAGATCTCTGAGGTCAGAGTTGCGAGGATGTCTCTGGGGAGAGTGGTCTGACCACCTCAGCCCAGGGCATCTCGGAGCCCAGAGTTGCGAGGATGTCTCAGGCAGGACTGGCCTGACCACCTGCTCAGGGCATCTCAGAACCCAGAGTTGCGAGGGTCTCAGGCGAAAAAGGCCGAGACACTATGGAGCAGGGCATCATTGAGGTCAGAGTTGCGAGGATGTCTCAGGCAAAAGTGGCCTGAACAGCTCAACTCAGGGCATCTCGGGCGAGGATGTCTAAAGCGAAAGTGGTCTAACCACCTCAGCTCAGGGCGTCTCGGAACCCAGAGTTCCGAGGATGTCTCAGGCGAAAGGGGCCGAGACACTATCGAGCAGGGCATCATTGAGATCAGGGTTGCGAGGATGTCTCAGGCGACAGTGGCTGACCACCTCAGCTCGGGGCATATCGGAATCGAGACTTGCGAGGATGTCTCAGGCGACCGTGGCCTGACCAGCATGGGGCAGGAGATCTCTGAGGTCAGAGTTGCGAGGATGTCTCATGCGAAAGTGGTCTAACCACCTCAGCTCAGGGCGTCTCGAAACCCAGAGTCCCGAGGATGTCTCAAGCGAAAGTGGCCGGGCCACCATGGGGCAGGGCATCTCCGAGACCAGAGTTGCGAGGATGTCTCAGGCGAAGGTGGCCAGATCACTTCATGTCAAAGCACGTCGGCCTCCAAATTGCCGACGACGTCTCACGCGGAACTGGCCGGACGCGAACGCGCCGGCGTCCGGAGACGAACGCCGGCCCCGGCATTCTTGCACGTCCCGCACATGCACTGCACAGGTACGCACAGTATTCGCACAGGCCGAGCTCGCCGGTGGCCGAGCCAGGCCAGCGATTCCGAGATTCCCTGAGCTCGGGCCGTCAAGCCACTATCGCCTGAGACAGCCTGGCAACTCTCACCTTCTCCTCCTCCTCCTCCTCCTCCTCCTCCTCCTCCTCCTCCTCCTCATCCTCCTCATCCTCCTCCTCCTCCTCCTCCTCCTCCTCCTCCTCCTTCTCCTCTGGCCGAGCCGAACAGGCAGGCTGGCCAGTGGCCGGGGGCGCCCGCCTCCTCCGCCCCCCCCTCCTCCCCCCCCCCTCCACCTCCCCCCCCCCCATCCCTGCTTCTCCGGCCGAGCTGAGAAGGCGCGCGGGAGAGTATTTTATTAGGCGGGCGCGCCACCGCCAGCTCACGAACCGGGCGAAGAACCGCCCCCGCCAGCAGCGGGCGAGTCTAAACGCACAACAAACTCTTTCAGGAAGCCCTGGCACGCCCCAGGTTGGCTCTGCGAAGGCCAGGAGGCATTGGAGGCACAGGGGTCCCAGACAGCTCCTAGGGCATGAGCGTGCATGCGCATTGGGATGTGCACGCATGTGCGCCCGCGCGCTTCACCGCATGTGCGTGCATGTGCGGGCCCGCGCGGCCTCCCGAAGAGAGGTTGCACAGGCATGTGCGTGCATGTGCCGATGACAGATCTGCGATTCTCGAACACCTCCCGCATGTGCAGGCATGTGCGGCCATGTGCGTCGGACTGTGCGTGCATGTGCGTATGATGGATACATCAAAACACAGCGCACATGCCCCCGAACATGCCCGGGCACGACGTGCACAGTAGGAAGTCCATCCAAGAAGGACCGCACAGGCCTGGCACATGACTGGCACATGCCGCGCACACTCGCGCACATGACCGCGCAAAAACGGCCGCACATACACCCACCCAGGGGTATAGATGTGAGTCGGTGTAGTAGTAAGAGTAGTAGTAGTAGTAGTAGTAGTAGTAGTAGTAGTAGTAGTAGTAGTAGTAGTAGTAGTAGTAATTATTAGTATAGTAGTAGTACTAGTAACTATAGTAGTAAGTAGTAGTAGTAGTAGTAGCAGCAGCATAAGTAGTAGTAGTAGTAGTAAGTAGTAGTCAGTAGTAGTAGATCGTAGGTAGTAGTGAGTAGTAGTAGTAGTAGTAATATAGTAGTTAGTAGTGATAACAATAGTAGTAGTAATGCGTAGTAGTAGGTGCAGTAGTAGTAGTTTAGTAGTAGTAGTAGTATAGTAGTAGTCGTAAGCAGTAAGTAGTAGTTAGTATAGTGTAGTATCAGCAGCAGTAGAAGTAGTAGGTATGTAGGTATGTAGGTATGTAGATAGGTAGGTAGGTAGGTAGGTAGGTAAGTAGGTAGGTAGGTCGGCAGGTAGGTAGGTAGGTAAGTAGGTAGGTAGGTAGGTAGGTAGGTAGGTAGTAGTAGTAGTAGTCGTATTAGTAAGCGTAGTATTACTGCTAGTAGTGGCAGCAGTAGTAGTGGCAGCAGTGGTAGTAGTAGTAGTAGTAGTAGTAATAGTAGTAGTAGTAGTAGTAGTAGTAGTAGTAGTCGTAGTCGTAGCCGTAGCCGTAGTAGTAGTAGTAGTCGTAGTAGTAGTAGTAGTACTAGTACTAGTAGTAGTAGCAGTAGTAAGAGTAATCGTAGCAGTAGTAGTAGCAGCAGCAGTAGCAGTAGTCGTAGTAAAAGTAGTAGTAGTAGTAGTAGTAGTAGTAATAGTAGTAGTAGTAGTAGCAGTGGTGGTAGTAGTAGTAGCAGCAGCAGTAGTCGTAGTAGTAGTAGTAGTAGTAGTAGTAGTAGTAGTAGTAGTGGTAGTAGTGGTAGTAGGAGTAGTAGTGGTAGCAGTAGTAGTAGTAGCAGTAGTAGTAGTAGTATTCGTAGCAGTAGTAGTCGTAGCAGTAGCAGATATAGCCGTAGCAGTAGTAGTAGTAGTAGTAGTAGTAGTAAGAGTAGTAGTAGCAGTAGTAGTAGTAGTAGTAGCAGTAGTAGTAAAACAAGTAGTTCCGTTGGTAGTAGGGTTAGTCCTGCTATTCTGTGTGATGGTACATTCGTGCTCGCATAGCATTGGCCATACTATCAGCAGCATTATTAGCACTACGACTACTAATCTGAGCATTCGTAGTAGTAGTAATATGGTAGCAATAGTAATAGTAGCAACAGCAGCAGCCGTAATACACTCGTAATACGAATGGTACCCGTACTACGACTATGATGTGCATCAGTTGTGGTAGTATCGGCGCTTTCTTAGTTTAATGGTTAACAGTAGTAGCGGTATGATTACTGATCGTATGATGGTATTTTGGTTATCTTATTCATAGAACTGCTAGCTTTCATAGCCGTAATAATATGACTGGTAAGATTCACCACATGCGTATCAGTATGTTTCCTCCTCCTCCTCTTCGGCATCATCACCATCCTCAGCATCATCCGCATCATCTGTAGCATCGTCATCATCGTCATCATCATCAACATCATCATCATCATCACCCTATTCCTCCTTTTCCTCCTCATCCTCCTCCTCATCCTCATCCTCGTCCTCCTCCCCATGCCCCTCCTCCTCCTCCTCCTCCTCCTCCTCCTCCTCCTCGTCCTCCTCCTCCTCCTCCTCCTCCGCCTCCGCCTCCTCCTCCTCCGCCTCCTCCTCCTTCTCCCCCTCCCCCCCCTCCTCCTCCTCATCCCCCCCCCCCTCCTCCTCCTCCTCCTCCTCCTCCTCCTCCTCCTCCTCCTCCTCCTCCTCCGCCAGTACCATTTTGGCTCACGCGCGCTCGCTGCTGGCCCCGCCGCCGACGCGCCGACGCCTGGTACGGCGATGGCTGCCCG